GATTGGCACCTATAAATCCATCTTTGTCTCAGTAAGTTGAGAACATCTTTCTGCAAGAACTTTACCTGCGTTTAAAGTCATATCAAGCTACTCTTCAGTTTTTATGAGTTGCTTTTCGAGTTCATCATATTTTTTACAATTTACATATTTTTTTTTAAGTTTTCCTCACTAGTCGAGCTAAATAAGATAGTAGATACTTGAGGCGATAAATCTTGCTTCTCTTTTGGTGAATCCAATGCTTCTGGGACCTTGCTAAAAGTTGGGATAATGTAAGTCTTACCATGTAATTTCATTCGGAATTGGTTTTTATTTGGGTCAAGAATACCTTGAACTTTTCGAATCCATGTCATACCTAAACATAACATTGGTTCAGGTTCACCATTATCAATGCGTGTAAAATTTCCAGTAGCTGTAACAATTTTACCATCCTTATCCTTTATACTGACTGGCACATCCGTAAACCATCCCAATGATTCGGTGATATGTTTAGAGTTACCTTTTATATCAAAGTCAGATGGCTTGTCAGCTTTCCATCCAAGAGCATTAATTGCTACATTATTCAAGGCTCCAAATTCACTTCCATTATTTAAAAATGATTCAGAAATAGATAAATTGTTTATACTAGCATTCAGATATTGTAGAGATGAAAACCACTCATCTGATTCTTCCTTCTGAACTGTACGAGACTGGCACATTTTTCGCATTACCAGTGAAAGCTTTGGAAATAATTCATTATATGTTATTGGTAATATCCATTTTTTTTTCCGATGAATTATACCATATATCTTTTTCTTCATCATATCCACCCTCATTACTTTTCTCATTAGCTGAAATGCTAGAATTTATTGGTTGAAAGGGATAATATCGTTGTGTTCGATTTATTTTGGCTACTGGTTTTTGGGATTGATTGTTTATATTAAGGCAAGATAACATATTCCCAATTTCATCTACTTTCTCCTCTAATCTAGTAGATTTATCTTTTTGCTGAGGACGAGGTCTTTGAAAAGGTTTTATAGGATAATTTGAATCTAAATCTTCTTTACTATATATACCTAATTCATTAAGGTATTTAACTAAATAATATTTTCCATAATCTTCATCCGATTGCAATGAAGGTGGTGGAGCTTTTGGTTCTCTTATAGGTTTCGCTATTTCTGATTTCTGTTGTAATTTAGATTCTAATTTTTCCATATCAGCTTTATGTATAGCATCTCGTTTTGATAGTTCAGCTTTAAAAATAGATCTTTCTTTTTTTAGTTCAGATTTAAATTGATCAAATGTAAGATTTTGTTAAAATGGCTGTTGTATTATTTGATGAGATATATTGCCTTAATTAAATGTATATGTTTCAAGTTCCGATAAATTTTTAAGTTGTTCATCCATTGTCTAGAAAAACATATCACCTTGATGAATATTATTTTGATTCATTGGTGATAATCCTCTTAACCATTGCTCACGAGTTTGTTCAGGAGTCATTTTGACAAGTCTGGCAATTCTCCATAAGTCTGATGCAAATTGTTGAACTGACTTAGTTCCTTGTACTATTGTACCAAACAAAGCTGATTGTTTTAATACATTGGTCATTGTATAGTTATATTCAAGCTCATATAATTTTTATCCAATTTTTATACCTGGAAGTACAACACTTCCTCCTCTACCAGCATTCGGAGTTACAACTGCTGTTCCAGCTGGAGCAAGGTGACCTCCAGCAATTGACCAATCTTCTTCCCAGACTCCTGCAGGAATTATATTTGCTCCTGTAATTGTATTATCTCCACCAGCAGTATTTCGCACTACTAAAGCTTGTCCTCGAAATTGATTAGCATTAATACCAGTTAAGGCACCATTATTTAATGCTCAGATAGCTGTTACATTTGCTACTCCTATATTGTCAAGAATATTATCAAGTTGGTAATTTCGACCTTTGATCTCATTTGTAAATCAGATTGAGGCATCTCCAGTTATGCACGAATCAAATAATCCATCCACTTCAGCTCTTCCACTAGCATTTCCTACATCAATTCGACAAACTAATACATATCTTTTAAATTCTTTAATAAAGTCTTCAGGATCTTCTCCAGGTGCACCGCTAAAAGTTAGTGGTCCGTATCCTACCATTGTTACTATATTATTTTGATGTGGGTTATTATTCTGTAACAATAAAATTTGTCCCTGTAAATTTA